CTCATGTTTAGTCTTTCCAGTGTGACATACTAGGCCAAGAGAGCAAGGCATATCAACAATAGCAAGAATTTTCCTAGGAAGAGTTCAGCCAGAACCACTTACTTTCTATGGTGCCATTCCCCTCTCTATAAAGTTTTACAGTACCACAGCCGTACTTTTAGACTCAAGAATTCTGAGTATTTCACTTAGAAGAACAGTGGGTGTTTGACAAGTGGTGAAGTGGTACAGTTTCAAGTGATAGCAGTGAACAGGTGGACATAAAGTATTTTACCGATATTGAAGTCTTACAATGTAATAATTAGGGTGGCAGGACTGACAATGAAACTGAGCCAAAACAACGCAATATCAACATTCTGAAATGTATTTTATAATGGCCTAACTTTGTGCAACTTTTCTACCTACATTCAACCCTAGATTAATACAAAATCAACAAAATATAGTATTTCTGTTGCTAGATATAAAATTCAAATGGGCTAGCAGCTAAATTAAGGTTACAAAAATCTGAACAATCATTTGGCAGCCAAAGGATTCAGTAAATTCTAGTGGTGTTTCAATTTTGGCAGCCCTGAACTAGCAGCTCTACTCAACTTATATTAAATTACTAGCTGGGTCTTAGATGCTTACCAGTAAGTTCGTTAGGTCCACTTATTTCACCCCAAACCATGTGTGACCTATAACCCAGTGGCAGGAAAAGGATGCCTGAAAAGATCTAATGTTCCTTCAAACACAACGAAGTCAGAGTTCACAAATATAAAATCATATTGCAGTTCTTTGATTTTGTTTTTATATATTGTGTGAATCCAGTGACTGCATTTGCAGAATGTGAATTTAGCCATTTGTGACCTATTCAAACCATGATCCCAGAACATTATAGCTTTATAGGCATACTGTATACATAGTACTATGGGTCAGCCTTTATCATCCCACTGTCTTGCTGATTTCTTCATTATTTGTTGTTTCTATTACTTTACTATTAAAGTGGGAACACATCTAAACAATTCGTTTGCCATAATAGTTATATGGGAAATATTATGAAGTCGAAGAGCCAGTTAAGGCAACCTACACAAACTAAACAAACATCCATTTTTCTTAACATTTTTTCACTTCAAATTTCTTTCCTCTGTGTTTAAAAGATTTAAGACACTCTCATCTTCTGGAGATGTGAGTTGATGGCTTTGGATGATACAGGCCCAACCATATTTTAATTTTATGGCATGTTCTGTCTCCTGTCACATATCCCTACATGCTAAACGACTAGAAACTATAGAAAAATCTCAAGAACCACAAAAAATATTTGGCCATTCACTGCTAAACATATTCTGGAGATGCTAGTAAAAGGAAGCTAATCTTCTTTGATTTTGTCAAGCTACAAGATGCTTCTAACATGGCCAGTCTTTGAACAGGGAGTTATATCATACTGGCAAAATGAGGGTATATCTGTACTGTGTCTCAGCCTGCCTAAACCACATGTTATAGATTGGAAATAAAATTACATATTTAGGCTAACAATGCTGATTTGATTCTGAGAGACAGAAAATAAAACTGGGAAAGAGTAGAAAGAACAAGCCTGAGGGATCCATGGCAGCAGGACAGGACAAACCGGTTTGTTCATTAATAATGCTGCACTACTTTTCAAAACAATAAGCTCAGCCAGATTCTTATATTTTTTGAAATTAGATTAACACTGCCTGAACACCAAGATGGGAAAAAAACTTGGCATGCTGCATTTACGACACAATCTGATTCCCCACAGCAAGGCTTTGTGAATGCCAACTGTCACAGAACTGTAAAATATGATTCATGCACCACCCTTTCATTATAATCCTTGTGGGGGGGGCTTCTAGAAAGAGTTAAGAGGAATTTGTGCAAAATAAAGAGTAAAAAGTAGCATTAAACCAGAGACGTGTACTGTAGGTAAACCCACATCATGGAGATTAATCAATCAGAGGTCTATTAAAATATGTCAGGTGAATAGCCCACAAGGAATCTGGAACACAATTTTCAGCAAAAACAGAAAGTCAGGGAGGAAATGACTAAATAGACTACACGTTTCACAGCTTGGGCAATTCAGCTTAATTCAGTTTATCTCAACCATATAAGGCAATCTTTTATAGAAAAGTTATGTACTGGTAGTCCTCGACTTTCAACAGTTCATTTAGTGACCATTCAAAGTTACAGCAGCATTGAAAAAAGGGGCTTATAACCATTTCTCCACACTTGCAATCTTTGTAGCATCCCCATGATCACGTGAGCAAAATTCAGATGCTTGGCAACTGGCCCATACTTATCATATTGCTGTGTCCCGAGGTCATATGATCACTTTTTTGCAACCTCTTGACGAGCAAAAACAATGGGGAAACCAGTTTCATTTAACAACTGTGTTACTAGCTTAGCAACTGCGGTGATTCACTTAACAACTGATGTAACAGAGGTCATAAAATGGGCAAAATTCACTTAACAAATGTCTCACTTAACAGAAATTTTTGGCTCAATTGTGGTCTTAAATTGAGGACTACCTGTAACCTATCACAATCCAGATGTTACTGAATTACCACTCCCAACATCCCTCAGCACTGGTTAAATTGCTGAGAATATTAAAATACATGAGAGGTTGTCACTTGTTTTAAGTGGATCCATGCAGAAAGTTATATGAATCTGAGGGCTGATTTTATTGCCTTATTGGGTTAGTAAAAAAGTTCAGAGATTCTAACTATTTGGTATTCTGTAAAAGAAGGATCAGAAAGGCTGTAGCCTTCTAGGAGATGCTGAATTGCCATTCTATAAAATTAAGGTGAGTTAGTATTTAGGACACCCTCTGAAAAGCTAGGTAACTACATATTTTGCTAAAGACTGAGGAAACCATCAACAGAACCTTTGACTAAGAAATTGCAGGAATGTTTAAAACAAAAGTGTTCAATTTCAGAAATGCTTTGTTATCTTGAAATTCTCTGACTCATCAGTTTTGAGGCCAATATCTTTTGCATTTTTAAGCTAAGTGAATGTTGCCTCCGATGAAAAGTTTACAAATTATTACTACTTATAAATAAAATATGCTATGCCAATCCATTAGTAAGAAATGAAAGTTTGTGTTCTACTAACTAAATGCAGAATTTTTAAGAACAATCTGGCAAAGCATAGTAAACAGCAAGTACAAGAGGGTTAAAATATTCATGCTTCTGAAGTCTACAGATTACTGCAATCCATACCCAAATCCAGCAAAAACAAAAACAAATTGCAGGAGAAGATCACAGAACATCACAGTACAATTACAGGCAAAGGCTCAAATGACAGACAAGAAAGCAGGACAAAAACTAAACTGGCAAAGGAGTAATACAGCTAGATCTGAAATAAGATAAAGGGGGAGGGATTAAGCATCAAGCCCCAGTTTATAAACATCACCCTTCCCCTCTAGAAATACATAGTCGTCCCTCACTCAAGTTACTAAAAACATAAGAAACATTTCCTAAGTACAGGCTGTTGTGAAGTAACATAGCCTGAATTATTCCTCTATGCTGCTGTTCAAAGCTTTCTGATCTTCTCCCAGCATAACCTTATAAAGCAAGTTGCAACTAAATCTCCCACCATCTCCTCTGAGGAGACACAAAGCTTTAACGAATTTTATTAGATTTTTTTCACACCTTAATTATTTGATAAGTAACTCTGGCAGCGAACATGTCTGGTACCACTTCCACCTCCTGTTTCTCCCAGAACAAGGGCCCTGGTGAGGTGGGTTGGGCTGAGGGAGAGTGACTGGGCTGCCCCCCCCCATCCAGCTGGCTTTCTTGGCTAGGGTATTACTAGAACTCCCGTCTCCTAGACCAGATTTCTAGACCAGTAACTTAACCACTCCAACCAAATTTGAGAGATCAGCAACAGGCAAGACCAGTGTTTGGCAAGGTCAAAGGTTGAAGAGTGTTTGCAAAGAGGATAAAACAGCTTGGCTAAATAACCTGAAAAAAGGAGAAGCAAAACAGAAGCTTTCTTTTCTCAAAAAGCAGAAAGAGGCGAATGAACCAGAAGCAAAGAAATCACGGTCAGATTTACAGGAAAACCCCAGGATCTCTAATGTGTCAAGCCTCCCGGGAATTTCACTTAATGGGTTCTGTGTGACGATGGAGAATTGCAACAGAGCCAGGCTTTGGGTCAGCGGTTACTCATTCCACAGCTATGAGCTGGAGGAAGTGCTAAATAAGGCAACAACACGGCATGCCGTTTGCCAAACTGCGCTGGTACTTGGGAGACTGAGAACATTTGGGGCGGATGGTGGAGTGGGGGGGGGGAGGAATCCACCAGGCAGTCAATGAGATGATGAAAACCATCCCGCTGGTCCTAAAGGACGGAGGAAGAGATTGCCAAGCGGGGGAGAAGCTTCTCCCCCCCCCTTCCCCAATGGCAATACGCTCAAAAGCTATCGAGAAGATAGCTGCGGGTTAAGCAAACGCTGCGCTAAAAGTAATAGAAGACCGAGTGAGAATAAACTACTAAGCGGGGGGCCAAAGGGGTCGCAGCGTCTCTCTCTCTCTCTCTCTCTCTCTCTCTCTCTCCCACCCTCCCTCTCTCCTAACTTCCTGCGAAGAAAGGGCGACTCGCTCCGGCTTTTAGCCCAGCGTCCCACTCTATTCCGGCGTTTGGAGAGAGAGAGAGAGAGAGAGAGAGAGGATTACTTGAGAAAAAGGGGTGGATTTCTCTTCGGAAAAGGGGGACGGGGGTCCCCCTCTCCGGCGTGGCCCCGGGAGTAAAAGGGCGATCTCCTTTTCCCCCCATTACTTGATCCGCAAAAGCCATCAAAAGGACGAAGAAGATCGAAGCCCGGTATCCAACTTCGTCCTAACTCCGCCAGCGAGAATGGTTTACAAATCAAGGCCGGGCAATCCCGGGCTAATTTCCCTCCTTCCACCCCCCCCCCCCAAAAAACCCCCCCCCCCACCCCTTTCCGCCCCCCCCCCCCCCCCCATTCCTCCTCCTCCTCCTCCACGCAAATCCCCGACAACGCCACTCACCGACTCCGCTGCCACGCTGACGGCGAGCAGGAGAGCGGCGCACAGGCCGGCGAGGCGAGCGAGTTGCATGGCGTTTCTGGAGGAGGCGAAGAGCGCGGAGCGAAATCAGCCACGGTGAGTCCGATGTAACCCCCCCGCGTCGGCGCTCAGCTTTCTTATAGGCGGCCCCGTCGCGGCCCGCCTCTTTCTCTCTCGAGGAGGAGCCGAAGGGGGTGAGGGGGGGCTCTCGCTTGCGAAGGGCGGACGGCGGGAAGTTTCCCTGCTTTCGCGATTCCTTTCGTGTTGCTCGCGCCGCCCCTCTCTCGCGTTCCCTTTCAGGTACGTACCGAGTACGGCGGTGTTGTTCCCCGGCCGTTCACAACAGCCGGTCTGGGTCGTCCGCCAATTTCAGTCTGACGCGGAGACTGGCCGCCAGCGGGCGATACAGAAACGTGTCGGCTTCCACACCACGGAGTAATGGAGGATGCTTCGTTGTTGATGTTGCCCCGCTCTTGGACATACAGGTAGTCATCTATTTACTACAGTGGAGCCCAAAATTTCTCTTGTTAGGCCAGACGTTGTTAAGTGACTTTTCCCCCATTTTACGACCTTTCTTGCCACAGTCGTTAAGTGAATCACTGCAGTTGTTAAATTAGTAACACTGTTGTTAAATTAATCTGGCTTCCCCATTGATTTTGCTTGCCGAAGGGCGCAAAAGGGGTCCCATGACTCCCAAGACCCTGCAATGGCCATAAATATGAGTCAGTTGCCAAGGATCTGAATTTTGATCGCATGGCCATGGGGATGCTGCGACAGTCGTAAGTGTGAAAAACAGTCATAAGTCCCTTTTTTCAGTGACATGGTAACTAAATGAACTGTTGTAAGTCAAGGACTACCTGTGCTCTTGTAATTTACCCAATGAGCTGCTGCTTTCAAGTTGTCTGGGAAATTTTGCAAGAAGCAGAATAGGGGGAGTAATTAGGTATGGACTTCTTTCAAAATGCTGGGGAAATAAGGGGCACTGCCAGGGCCTGGTCTCCCTGTAGATCAGGGGTTCATAAAAACACCAACATGAAGACAAGTAAAGAATGAAGAAAATACAATAAAACTTGGAAAAGTGAATTTATTTTAGCAACAGGAGCTCTTCTCCAGAATCTTTCTGCACTCCCCAAAGGAGATACAGCTCATAGTTTAGGAAATCCTGCTCTAGATGCATTGGAGATGCTGCTCCCTGAGTACCCAGCTAGTCTACTTTTTGGCACATTGGCTGGAAACATCCATTTTAAGTTATCTAAAAAAATGCCAGGTTGTGGAAGTCCCAAAAGTGCTTTTTCAGGAGGCAACTGGGCTTTCTTGTTTTCTTTGAAGACGTTTCACTTTTCATCCAAGAAGCTGCTTTGGCTCTGACTGGATGATAGGGAATGGAAGGATTTATATTCCTTGCAGGCTGCTGGTCATTTGCATTCTTTCAGAGAGTCCTTGAGGCCACTAGGAGGTTTATCTGTGTCCTCAGGGTTAGCTGAATAGTGCAAATGTGTGTGGAGAGCCTTCTTGGCTGCAGGATGTTTTCTGCCCAGTGTCCCTTCACTGTTGAAGACAAGCGCAGGCTGTTGGGGATGAATCTGTCTTGTATGCGTCTCAAACTGAAGTGCAAATGGTTCCTGTAGATTTGTAGGTTGTGGAAGGTTACTGACTGTAATTAGGTTTGGAAGATGCTTTTGGCAGCATTGCTTTCAAAGATTCACACCAGGCCTAGAGGAGAGAACGGGGGATTTCCATGAGGCCATATGAAGAAGTAATGGCAGAAGTTGAAAATATTTCTAGACTGTAGTTTGCAGGCCAGTCTAGCAGCTTAGTGATGGAGAATGTGGTTTGTTGGATCTTCTGAACTACATTTTCAGGCATTCTTCACTCCTGGAAGTTATAAATCACTGTGATCTGGAGGGTGAAAGGTTCCACATACCTAACATCACCTACCTCTTCATCTTCCACATTACTTGCAACAAATAGTTTTACAAAGCTGATCACCCAATGCTGTGTCTCTAGCCACAGAGAACTGAAACTTATCTCATTTCTGGTTCATTTTTTAACTATCTCTGCTGTCTGAGAGTCAACATGGTGTTAATCTCTCTCTCTCTCTCTGTAAATAGGCAAGGTGTGAAATTTGGGGGCTTAAAGATGCAGATTACAGGTAGTCCTCAAATTACAACCATTTGTTTAGTGCAGTGGTGAAATTCAAATTTTTTTACTATCAGTTCTGTGGGTGTGGCTTGGTGGGCATGGTGTGGCGTGGCGGACATGGCGTGGTGGGCGTGGCAGGGGAAGGATACTGCAAAATCTCCATTCCCACCCCACTCTGGGACCAGTCAGAGGTGGTATTTACCGGTTCTCCAAACTACTCAAACTTTCCATTACTGGTTCTCTAGAACCTGTTAGAACCTGCTGGATTTCACCCCTGATTTAGTGACCATTTGAGTTATAACAGCATTGAAAAAAGTAATGAACAATTCTTGTGCTCACAACTGTCCCAGCATCCCCACAGTTGTTATCAAAATTCAAGTGCTTGACAACTGGCAAATATTTACAACCGTTGCAGTGTCCTGGGGTCATGTGATCGTCGTTGTGATTTACCCAGCTGGCTTCTGACAAGCAAATGGGGAAGCACATTCGCTTAACAACTGCAGTGATTCGCCTAACAACCATGGCAAAAAAGGTCATAAAATTGGGCACAACTTTCTTAACAACCACCTTGCTTACAAGTGGAAATGCTGGTCCCAACTCTGGTCATAAGCTGAGGACTACCTGTAGTGTCCTGGTGCCCCATTCCAACTGGGTTGAGAAGGGATTAAAAACTGGATGTAATTAAAAATTAAATATAGTTAAAGCCATGTGGCTTTTCAAAAGGATGCCTTGCCTTGTTGAAGGCTTGAGCAAAACTACCCTACAAAGTACAGGTAGTCCTCAACTTACAACCACAATTGGGCCCAAAATTGATGTTGCTAAGTGAGAAATTTGTTAATTGAACCTTGCCCCATTTTACAGCTTTTCTTGCCTTATTTGTTAAGGGAATCATTACAGTTGTTAAAGCCCACTAATAGGCTTTTCTTACATTCTTGAGTTGAAATTTAAGTCCTCCACTTATGACCATCTGTTTAGACGACTCTTTGAAGTTATGACAGCACTGAAAAAAGTGATTTACCACCAGTCCTCACACTTCCCACTGTTGCCACATGCCAAGGTCACATGATCATCATTTGTGACCTTCCCACGGGCCTCCAACAAGCAATGTGTGAAGATGGATTTGTTTAGCAACCGCATGATTCACTTAACAACTGAAGAGAAAAAAGGTAGTAAAATTGGGCGTACCTCACTTAAGAACCGTGATGGAACTTGCAGTCCAATTACAGTTGTAAATTAAGAACTACCTGCATAACTATATAAATTATCTTGCCCTCACAGCCCTTCTTCCCCATGATTTAGCAACTAGCTTAGGCAATGTTGCTATCCTAGCATAACATATTGTGATACAGTTTTGGGCAGCAGTTTGTGGCTTCCCTACAGTTCTTTCCCCTCCACACAGCATCATCTGCCAGCAGGAAAACCAGCTAAATTCTGCCAACGTCTCTTTCTCTGCCCACAGAGACATGGCCTTTCTATCAAGAGGCCTTGCTTTATCCTGACCCAAAAAGCTGCACTATAAGCAGCTCTAGTAAGAGAAGGGAAGGGAAGGGAAGAGAGGAGAGAGGAGAGGAGAGGAGAGGAGAGGAGAGGAGAGGAGAGGAGAGGAGAGAGGAGAGGAAGAGAAGAGAAGAGAAGAGAGAGAAGAGAAGAGAAAGAAGAAGAGACAAACTTCAAGGGAGCTTGGAAAAATGTTTAGATTTGGAATGCCTTTTTTTCCTCAGAGATACATGTGTGCTTGGGTCCCTCATGAAAGAAATGTGCCAAGAGCAACTTTTACAAGTAGAGTAGGGGAAAGAAGCAAAGGTTCTGGGCGAGGACCCAGCTCTGTTTCTGGATGTGAAATCAGTTGGCAGAAATGCTGGATTTTATTGCAGATATATGAAGAAAAGCAAACTAAGGTTGGTCTTTGGCATAAGTGTCTTCCCTGCTGTTTCATCACAAATACTTCCACAGCTAGCAGTTCTTGAGGGCCAAATTTCTCTCGGGGGTTGGAAACCAACTTTTGATCAAAAACAAGCTTAAATTGCCAAGCAAATAGTCCTGAATTACATTGAAATCTGAAATCTATGCGTTGCCACCGATCATGGATTTACAGTAGCTGAAGAAACACGGATCCACATTTCTGCCAAATGCAGCATCTTCCAATTCCTCCCAAGGAGCCTCACTTTTCCCAGCTATATCTTTGCTCCTTCCAAAGCTCTTTAGGGGCCACATGTCTCAACAGAAATACAGTAAATCGTTATTGCACAGAATATTGGAGAAATGCCATCGCCTTCATTCTTACTTGTCCTCTTTATTTCTATGAGCCATCCTTTTTTTTATTGCTTCTTAAGCCAATAAATTGTAGGAAGAAATTATGTAAAGATGCTTGGGATTTTATGTTTTGGGTGGATAACTCTCTGAAACCTGGATGGAAGCAAATTTGGTGTAGTAGAAGAAACTAGGTAAAGAAACATTAAGTTCAAAAATGGTCTGAATCTGGCAGAACTTGGGGAGAAAAAAAAACAGTCCAGGGGGGAAAAAAAGTACCCAATGCATCCCTAGCAGTTGGGCACTATGTGGGAATGCTATCAGTTGTTCCATGCTTAGCCTCTGCCTTCTGATTACCATATTTTTTGGACTGTAAAATGCACCGGAGTATAAGACGCACCAAGATTTTGAAAGTTTTTGCCCTCCCCAGCCCCCAGGAGCACTCTGCAGGCCTCCCAAACCCTCTGCGTTTGGTATGCGCAGAGGGTTTGGGAGGCCTGCAGAGTGCTCCTGGGGGCTGGAGAGGGCAAAAACGTGTCACGTGGGGGGTTTGGGAGACCAAAAATGGGGTGTGCAGAGTGTTTGGGAGGCCTACAGAGTGCTCCTGGGGGCTGGGGAGAGCAAAAACGCCCACTCTGCAGCAGTGGTGAAATGTAAAATTTGTTACTACCGGTTCTGTGGGCGTGGCTTGGTGGGGGGGGTTAATGTGACTGTGTGGGTGTGGCCAACTTTTTTTTTTTTTTTTTTACTGTTAAAACCATTTTTCTACAACCTCTTTGGCTGAAGAGGTTGTAAAAAAAATGCTTTTAAAAGCCTCTGGCAATCCCAGCTGAGTTGCCTGATCGTCAGTGGCTTTTTTTTTCTTTTAAAAACATTTTTTCTACAATCTCTTTGGCCGAAGAGGTTGTTAAAAAAAATGCTTTTAAAAGCCTCTGCCATCAGGCAACTCAGCTGGGATTGTCAGAGGCTTTTAAAAGCATTTTTTCTACAACCTCTTTGGCCGAAGTAGAAAAAATGCTTTTAAAAGCCTCTGACAATCCCATCTGAGCCGTGCGATCATCAGAGGCTTTTTTTTTACTTTTAAAAGCATTTTTTTCTGCCGAAGAGGTTGTAGAGAAAATGCTTTTAAATTTTTTTTAAAAGCCTCTGATGATTGCGCAGCTCAGCTGGGCATGGGGGGGGCAGGGATCCAGTCTGAACCGGGAGCATTTCACCCCTGCTCTGCAGGCCTTCCAAACTCTCTGCGCATCCTGTTTTTGCAAAAAAACGGCCTGTTTTTGGCAAAAACAGGATGCGCGGGACGGGGCTTCAGTAGGCCAAAAATGGTTGTATTTGGTGTATAAGACACACTGACATTTCCACCCTCTTTTAGGGGGGAAAAAAGTGCATCTTATACTCCGAAAAGTATGGTAAGTGACCCAAACTGGAGCTGATACAGGTAGTCCTCAACCTATGACCACAATGGAGGTCAAAATTTCTGTTGTTAAGCGAGACAATTGTAAAGTGGATTTTTCCTCATTTTACCATTTTTCTTGCACAGTTGTTAAGTGAATCGTTGTTAAGTTAGTAACATGGTTAAGTGAATCTGGCTTCTTCATTGACTTTGCTGGTCGGAATGTACACTGCTGGACCCTGCTACTTGTTATAAACATGAGTCAATTGCCAAGCATCTAAATTTTGATCACGTGACACTGAGGATGATCAACGGTCTTTAAGTGTGAAAAAGGTCACTTTTTTTCAGTGCTGTTGTAATTTCAAATGGTCACTAAACAAATGGTTGTAAGTCAAGAACTATGTGTATTAAGGGTGTAGATATTAATTTAGAAGCTTTTCTTATCTTTTTATTCTTCCCAACTCAAAGGAATGTTGAAAAGTAATTGTCAAAGAGATTCAAGGCTGTCCTTTTGTCCTGTCTCATCAGCAGGATAACCTCAAAACTGAGCAGAAAAGGACCAAATGAATGCGTGGAGGTCATGTTAAAGAATGGACTGGATCTGGTTGAAGACCGGAGAAAGACCTGACAGTTAGAACAGTTAATCAGTGGAATAACTTGCCTCCAGAAGTTGTGAATGCTCCAACACTGGAAGTTTTAAAGAAGATGTTGGATAACCATTTGTCTGAAGTGGTGTAGGGTTTCCTGCCTAAGCAGGGGGTTGGACTAGAAGACCTCCAAGGTCCCTTCCAACTCTGTTATTCTATTCTATTCTAAAAGATAAATCCAGGGGGAAAAGAATCCCTAATGTATTTCTGTGGAAGAGACATTTGGCCGGCAAATAGTAATGTTATCAGCCCTTTCATTCTAAGAAGCCATGCTGTGGATATTTTCTGTAACTTACTATCTTCATCCATTCTGTGAATGTTTCCATTTAGGATATACACACAGAGACACAAAATTTAGTGGTTTGTCTCCAAAACAATCTATTGGAATGTTTTCTTTTGCACCTGGAAAGGCCAGTCTGACATTTTAGATTAGTTACATTTCAAGAACAGGAGATGGTTCCAATGGAGGAATGGGCCATGTATGAACCATTCTATTTCCAGTGCCAACTATACACTTCTGGAAAGGCAAAGCCACCTCAGAACTTCAAATCTGCCCATAGGGAAATGGGGTGGAATGAGGCAGAAATCATTGTTTTTCACACAAAAATTCCTTGACGCCCCTCAAGCTCCCTCCTGCTCCAAATTTTTAAAGAGTTTTTTTAATTTAGAAAAATGACTGAAAAGCTGACATGGCACCAGCCTAAAGTATACCTTGTATCTTCTGCACTGTTTTTGGACCTACATAGATTCTAGGATTTTATTTTTACAATTTTTTTTAAATCGTAATTTGGATGGCTGTAAATGCTTTGATTCCCTTCTAACAGTGCTTCTCAGCCTTGGAAACTTTAAGGTGTATGGATTTCAATTCCCAGAATTCCCTAGCAAACATCCATGATCCCACATCCCAACATCCATTTTGGGAGTTGAAGTCCACACATCTTAAAATTGCCAAGATTGAGAAACACTGTTCTAAAATATGAATGCTTTTTGTAATTGGTGGTGTCCATGATCATAACTTTGTGAGTGTCTCCATCCTATGGTCTTAAAAGTCCAGTGTATCCACTGGGCCAAAAATTAAGGATATCTGTAGTCAACAACTTCCAAATAAATTATTAGAGTTAACATTGGGGGTTTTTTAAAGGTACCCAGCCTATGCTGGGTACTGGGTCCCTCCTGGTGACCCGCCGGGGTGGCAGGAGAAACCCACGCAGACCCAAGTTATGCCTTGACCTGCGCCATTTCGGACAGGGACCCTTTCAGATCCCTGCCCTGGACAAATCCGGGGCCAGTACTGAGTGTCTTGAGGGGTCCAATCCCCAAGAGAGGCCACAGCTGGAAGGTGGCACCACACTCATCACCAACCCCCTTGAAGTACCTTTGAACAGTGTGGTTTCAGCATTGACATCCCCACCTACCCAGGATCTGACCTGCCGATTTCTCGGCAGCCATCTTGTTGTACCTTTCAGTACGGCCTTTCAGTAAGGTCTCTGGCAGGCGGTAATACTGGCCGGAGGCCCTTCGAGGGCAAGTTGTTAATCCCCGGTATAGATGGGCTGGAATGCTTCTCTATTCGCGGTGACCTGTTTCTTATCAGAACCCCAGAGTTAACATTGTTGATCATTGATAATAAAAGATCATGTCAAATAAGGAATCCAAAATATTAGACACAAAGGGGAGAATGTGGCTGTTTCAAAGACCAGTGTTTTATCTAACTTCATTTTTATTTATTTTTTCTTGTGTGGTATTCTGCTTTTCTTTTTAAGCCATTTGACTGTTTTAATTATCACTCATAATCTGCCAAATGAACTTCAATGTGGGCTTACTGAATAAATAATACATATGTTATGAATAGTCCCTACTTTCGAGGCAAAACTTAATGCACATTTCATTTCTTGTATTAGCCCAGTTGATTTTTAAAATTCTAAAGAGATTATGTGAGAGGTTCACTTCCAATGCATAAGAACAAAATCATCTTTAAGCCTTAATGGAAAATATTCTTTTTTTCTTTTGTAGAAAAAGCAGATTCAGAATTCAGTCCTGTATTTAAAAGTAACTGCCATTGAAATCCAGAATAAAAATTACTCTTAAGAAGACTTGTATAGAATAAATTTAAACTCATTTAAAAAATGAATACAAATATATGCCCATTTATTGGAATTAAATATAGTAAGAATTGCACTTAGATAAGCACACTTAGGATAATGTTATAAAACAATTTTTACTGAGCGTCTCATACCTTTGTCTTTCATGTTTCAAAAATAATTAATTCCATTAAATTATTTCCTGTTACTTGTTTTAAGTGTGTAATATATGCAGTTGCTTTTGATAAAAGTTCAAAGATGGCTTGCAAATCAGTTAATAACTAACAAGTTTAAAAAGTACAAATTTTCTCAGGACAGAACCAAAACACTATTACAACAGATTTTATCTTCTGACTTGTTTGTATGGGAAAATAATATTTTCAAAGACATGTGTTGCTTACTTCTAAAGAACACTGCAATTGCACAAAGATTTTAGTTATTATTATTATTTATTTATTTGTCAAGCATGTATGAGAAAATAAATATAAGTATAAAAATTACATATAAACATATAAGTTATAAACAGGTATAAATATAAACATAAGAAATTAATACGAATAATTGGGGCAGTAGGACAGGGACGGTAGGCACGCTAGTGTGCTTATGCACACCCCTTTACAGACCTCTTAGGAATAGGGTGAGGTCTACGGTTATGAACGATAAGTCTTTGTCAGTGTACTATTCTGGCTCTGAGAAATTTCTGAAGGTGTTACACTACTCTGACTTTTGCATCTAAAATTGCTATAAGCTGAACCCTGGGGAAATGTGTCTTAAAGCCTGTTAAAGGAGCAGTTGATGCTTTGATGCCAAAGAAAGCACATAGATGGTGGGCAGCGATGATTCATCTTTATTTCCTTCATATGGAAGGACAAGCCAGTCATGTGGGTGGCTTGTCATTTGAATAGCTTGTGCCGGAACTGTATAGGAGTTCTAGGGAATTCATGAAGCTACAGGATTTCAGAGACAAAGCCAAACCGTATCTGGGCTGCCAAAATCCTGACAGTCATTAAATAGCAGCAGGGAGTTATTTTATGTATGTGTTTTATGATTGTCCTGATTTATATAGAAGCCTTGCTTTTAAATAACTAAAACCTGGGCAAACACTCATGGTTTCATAGATGTGTGCAATAAACAACAGTGGCAGGAAAATGACAATGTGCACGCAATGACATCATAACACAAGTAGTGATATTTGTGTTGTGATTCACATTCCATTATTTTCACATCACATTCCTTTCCTACAGAAACCTATGTATGCAGCCATATGTTTGCTTAAAACTGGGGTATATGAATGTACATTGGTTTCTTCACCTGACCTCTACATGAGCATGCACCAAAATTATATGCCTGGAGCTCATCCCAAGCCTGTGATTGAAGAATCTGAATTGTACTGTTCTTTCCTTCTTATTTTGACACTGTCCAAGGACAGGCTCAAGTGTACAAAATCTGGCGGTCTTGGTCATCCATTACTTGGAAGGAAGCCAGTGATGGCAGGGACTTGAAATCAAGCCAGTGACAAGACAGCAATAGGAATATCAGTTTTGTTCTGGTCTAGTTTTTTTCTGAATCAAGGATAAATAGTGAGCACTTCCATTCAGCAGTAGGGAAAGACTTTTGGCCCATCTCCTAACTACATGCCTTGTGATAAGTAGTCTTGATCAGGCTCTAGGGATGTGATGACTCCCCCAGACCTGTCCCCAGATACCTCTCCAGGCATGAGTTCAAAGGCGGATGAAGCAGTCCCAGGCATGTCAGGAGTGGAGTTGGTCAATGGCTCCAAAGAGCCATCTGAGAGTGATTTGGCTGAAGCACAGCTGCAGGTGGACAGCCCTGAGGCTTCAGATGAGGAAAGCATATAGTTGCAGCCAGTTAGTGATGAGGAGGAGGAACTGCCTTCTGCCCTTGATCCAAGAATATCATGTTTCCCCGAAAATAAGACCCTGTCTTACATTTTTTTGAACCCTGAATAAGCACTTGGCCTTATTGTGCTCAAAAGCCAAATTGTGTTTATTATCAAGGGAGGTCTTATTTTGGGGGAAACAGGGTATATAAGGCAGAGAAAAGGCAGCAAAAATCAGCTGTTTACTCACAAGTAGCCTTGTCCCTCAGAAGCTGGCTATTTAACACAACAGACAGTTGGAGCCGATGCTGAGAACAATAAATTCATTCCCTAGCTGCGTGTTTCCTGGTTGTTATAATTCCTGCCTTGCTTTGGATTGACACTGACTTTGGATCACGTCTTATGAACTGCCTTGTGAATCCTCTTGTATTGTGGATTTAATTTTGCCTGGTGGATTTATTTTGTTTGGGAAACTTTCAAGTGCCTTGTTGACTCATTGGCCATTGCTCTGTGGATAGCATTGGTCTACTTTTGGCTGGACTTAATTGGGACAGACCTGAATTTTTGGTGAATTGCTGGGGAATATTAATAAATCTACTAAACCATCATTACATGTGTGTATGAGTGAGCAGGATAGTATAAGGGATGTTTTTCCAGGACTCCATAAACTAGGATGGAAAAAAATTATATTATATTATATCCTCACTAACAATGATAATTGAGACCTGGAACTCTTGTTGCTAAGCAATGCGGTCATAAAGGCGCAATGTTACATGACTGTACCACCATATGCCCACAATTCTGGCAATCCCAGTTGCCATTGTTAGACAAATCCCAAATGATTGCAGCATCCCACAGTCACATAATTGCCATTTGCAACTTCCTGTCAGCTTCCCCATTGACTTTGTTTGTTAGAAGCCAGCAATGAAGGTGGTAGGATACTGGGGTGTAATTGCAACCTGGATGTTGAGCTCCCAAATTGTGGTCATGTGATTGTGGGGATACTGCAATGGTTGCAACTATAAGGACCCATCATAAATATCCTCATTCATAACGTCTAACAAGTGGATGTTAAACAAGGACTATTTATATTGTCGCTAACCCCTATCTGAGATTTAGCTTTTCTTGTTTTTGAATCTTGTTTTCTTTGTCATACACTCTAGAACTATGGACTTTATTTTATGCACTTAAAATCTTCTGAGAAGGGGTTAATAGATTTTACCAGACTCTCAGAGGCTCCATGGCACAAAAGGGTTAATAACCTGTGTTTTGTAGCTATTCCATTTTCTTTCTTTCTTTCTTTTTTCACCTCTCTAAACTGAAACATATAGTTCTGGTGATCTTTGTACTTCTAATTTGCATGATGTTTTTGTAGCAGGGTCTCTTGGCAGCTGGTGTCCTTGCAACAAATAAATATACTGTAAACACTCATGAACTGTAATCCTGATTGCTAATACTATATTTTGTCCATCGGTTTATTCTCAAATAACTGTTCCTTCTGAGAGGATTTACAGCAACTTTCAGTAGCCTGTAAATGCAAAAGTGTTCCCTCGATTAACAAATCTCTTAACTCATAGGGAGTACTTCATATTGTTGAAAATAAATTCCCCAGAGGCAAGCTACCAAAAATTTAGATTTAAACCGATTTACAAAGGAAAGGATGCATTATCCATCTACCACAACTATATCACAAAATAAAAAGTGTTTTTATTGTGGAAAAATATCCCTTTATATCATACAAATGTCCATTTGTTCAATATAGTTAGTAAATTATACATTTTTTTATCTGTTAAGAAAATATAGATAAAAATTGGGAGATGGGAGAGGAATAGATTTAAAGTTTCTTGATTCTTACTGGTGGAAAATTTTAGGAAATTTTCTCACAAAAACAATTGACTGAAAAGTGTTGATTAACTCAATCACTACTACTAGCAGGGATTTATTTCTGTCAGTATTTTACTAAAATAAATTCTGATTACAAAGTTATACTCCATTCTTTCCTTTTCTCTGAAATATAGTTTAATTGATATATGAAAAGATATTTGCCCTTTGAAGCCAGTGCCGTGAGACAAATAAGGTATTGGAGTATGAATGAGAAGTCTAAGTTAAAATCCAGCCTGGACCAAACATCTCTCTTAATTCTACTTATTTTACAAAATGTATGTTGTAAGAAAAATAGAAAAAGTGAGCTGTGTACCACTTTGAGGAAGAAACGTGGGATATACAGTAAATGGTGTTAATAATTAACATCAATACATCATGAGAAAATCTACATTTATATTACAATGTTTTGATTACTTAAAAAAATGAGGGACACATTCTTCAAAAACATTAGTATGTATTTTTTAATACTGCTTTGAGACTCAGAGCACTACATAACATTAAATCTAATTCAGATCTATGAATTCAAATAGCAACAAGTGTCATATTTTCATATTTTGCCAGTAAGGAAAAGTAGGTAATATGAATTCCATCATTCCAAGAATAATTCTTCCTGTGGCAGGATATAAATGTAATAAATTATCACAAAAAATAGAGTAACAGTTGTTAACATGAGACATTGTTATTTTTTAAAAAGAGGTAGATACCAAGAACCAAAAAAGCCAAGATGGCAGACACAACCATGCAATAGAAATTTCATCCCTTCTTACATGCATGTAAGAAATCGTGAGGCTTTCAATGATTCACTTGTGGAGGCCATTTTGATTTTTTTCAAAGTTCCCTTCCCCAACCCAGATGCCCTGGGTAGATGTTAACATTTATTTTCTTTTCAAAAGATGTGACCTTCCTTTGGCAAAGGGTAAAACCACAAGACAGCTAATAAAATTGTTCAAAGCATCTCTTACAAGAATACTTTACATAAAAAAAAAATCCCCTTTGAGTTATCTCAAAATAGATACAGTGTATTTTCATTTCATTTTACTGGTTATTTAAATCCCATTTCTTTACTAAAATACCTAATAATCAAATCAACATTAAAAATGCATCATTGGAAGAAAAAAAGCAGATATAAATACAGAGGGCATTAAAATATCAAGAAGATAGCAATATGAAATATTCTAATACAGCAGGTTAATGTTTAAAAGCTATTCTAAATACAAAATCATCATCAAATGAACATATTATCTTTTCATACTTTCTATATGGTTCTATATGTTTGTATCACTTCAATTCATGTTTGTATTTCACCTTACACATGTACTGGGTATTGGATAATTTACAGTGCTTTGGTGGCATATTTTTGTGTAACACCTGGAATTTCTAGTAAAATTGCATTTTTTTCTGGACCAAGAAAAATATCTCAGCAGCCACATTCCAAAACAAAGTGAGTCAATGTAAAAAGAATTTAGAGATGACCTTAGGATGGT